AAATAGACTCAAAGAATCAATAATAACATATCTGCCATCCACTAAAGAGTCCCAGGAAGAAACAACTTGATACTGAAGAAGGGTTTAATACAGAAAGACATACAGGATGACAAGATAAACAGATACATTAGAGCTCAGAGGTGTTTCAGTTGTTGCCCAATTTATCTTCCTGTCTCTAAACCCCCGATTTAAAAGAAAAACTCTTTATTTTTGGGTCTGAGGGGGTGATTTTGTAAATTGTCAGATTTTATGAGTAGAATCTGGTTTTTATGTGATTTCCTCACAAAGCCAGAAACATAATGGAGAGTTTTCTGTCTGATTTATTGTTAAAGAATACAACAGCTGACATGAAGGAACATAAATGCACCTACAGCAGGCGGTATAAATAATGTGTGTTATTAATGTGCATCAGACTGTAATATACAGCATACTGTCAATGTTCAGACTACAACAGGCCCTCCTCCATACACTGCTCATAGGCTGACACCTGCTGGTGACTTTATGGAACTGCAGCTGACAGTTGGAGTGAAAATAAAGGCAGAAAATAGGAAGAAAGCTCAAACAAATGTGACAATAACCCATATTTTTTGCAGATATTTACTGTTGTAAATTAGAGACAACAGTAAAAACAGTATTTGTTATTTTACATGGATTAATTAGTTAATTGACGAGTATCTTTTATAATTATATAAGTTTTCACAACAAAAACATTGAATAAATGTTGTTTATCAGTGTATAAGCATTGGTGAAAACAGCAATAATTACTGTAATTACACAGATAATGACTTTATTACAGTTCTGTTAAAATTTAGATTAAAATAATAAAAATACAATAACAGCACTGCTGTAGATTTAAGCCTGATTATTTGTATTATAGCAGCGTTTGCCTGCATTTATAGATCATTTCATGCTTTTTACAGTGGAAATATCTTTAAATATTAAAACACTCCAAAGTTAATTAGATTTTATGTCAAATTAAAGCTTAAAACTGTATTTCTTTATGAGTTATTTTCACTCCAGCTGCTTGAATATTACCACTTACACTCTGATTAGTTTGAGTGGATCTAAACTGCCGATCATTTATCCCAACAGGCTTCTGCAGTGTGAATCTTCTATAACCAACAGTAATTTACTCAGTCACCCAACACAAAGGTGAGAAAATGAAGTCTTTATTGAAAGAGACGAGGTGAACAGAATGAAGGACGACAGCTCTTCTCCTTCCACATATAACACAGGAATGAGTTCCTCTCTGCTCCTGCCTGTGTTTCTGAAACTAGACGAGGTTTCACGGCTCACAAATGTTCGGTGTGAAAAGAATATTTCTCAGTGTGGAAGCTGAGCGAGTGTCTGAGGTCACAATGACAACAGAAAGACCGTAGAAACAAAAAGTTCAGGGTTCGATTCTCCCCGACACTCTAAACCATCAACAATGACCTCAAATTTAAAATTAATTTAAAAGGAAATAAAAAAAACAGGTCATTTCTGTGTCTACTTCTTCTTTTTCTTGCTCTTCTTTCCTCCCTCTCCCTGCTGAGAGCTGGGGTCTCCTCCTCCGACCTTCTGGGTCCGAGTCTTCAGTTTAGGGATCATCTCCGCTACGTAAAACATCACGTCTTTACCTGAGGGAATAAAAAGGAAACGCTCAATCAGCCTGGAAGCTTCTATAGGTAACTGTCATTAAACTGTTGGGTGTCGGTCCGTTAGATAGTGTTGCTCACTGTTGGCACTGTAGGGAAGCGGAGAGAGCATAAAGGTCACAACCTTTGACCCTCGCAGGCAGCAGAGGAACAAAGCTACACTACAACCCGTTCACTCTCTGCTCACACACACTGACTCTGTATCACTGATACTCAAACATTAGTGGTTTCTGGGACTTTGAGTTCGGGACTTACGGGAGGTGAACTTGTCCTGACAGAAGCTGCCGTCGGTCTGCTTCACCTGAACTCTGACACGACCTCTGAACTGGACGTCCCTGTTCCACTCCCTGGGGTGCATTTTGTTCTGTAACACACACACACACACACACAGGTCATATTGGTTGCCATCAATAAAGTAAACAACAATAAAGTCGTTTTTATTTGTTACCTCCACGTAGACGTTGAGTCCAGCAGCCGTCAGGACGTCTCTGATCTCAGCGCAGGACGGATTCTCCACAGCCTGCAGACACAACAGCAGCTGTTAGCCTCGTCTTTGCTTTACACACTACATGTTACGCTCTACGTACACCTTAACAATCACTGCTTCTCCCACGCTGTTGGACAGACAGAGGACGTCCCGGAGGGGCTGCGAGCCGAGCTGCTGCTAACGTTAGCTCAGCTTGTTTCTCTGATAACTTAAGATCCAGACGTCCGATGACTAAAATCCTTCATCCGGTTCAAATCTAGAGTTAAAAAGCACCAAGATCTAAACAGTGGATGGTAACAATGTGGCTTCACACTGGATCAACAGTCAATGTGTGACTCTTTGGGGTAGTTTTTGGTTCCAGTGATCCACAGTTGTTTGGTTCAGTGTGAAAGAGCGAAGGCGGCGTGATGGCGGTCGTTCTTTACGCTGATGTTTCAGGATCTCTGTGTAGAAATATAAAGTTACACCTGAACTTTTTCTGTGGCTTTATCGGACAGTGATGGGGGACAGAGAGAGGGGACGAATGTAACCCGGGCCCCTGCAGACAGGTGAGCAGGTGACTAACAGGTGAGCTACCTATAGTGATCAGTGTTTTAAAGAGAAGTAAACACTGGTTAAATATTTAAAAAGGTAGTTAATGATCACACTGTCTGCATGAAGTCGTCAACTCTCTGATTGTTTGTGTCGCTAAGAATCATGGGAGAAAATCCAGATCTCAAGCCCCGATCTCATCCCGGTGGGGGTCGACAACAACCCCCCCCGTTTTCTGACTGCAAACGTCACCTTCTCTGTGGGAATCCTTCGTCCTTCAGCCAGAGTCTTCTTACTGTTGATGTAGATCGGATAGATGCAGATGAACCTGAAACACACACACACACACACACACACACACACACACACACACACACACACACACACACACACACACACACAGGATCAGTTGTTTATATTTGCACTCTTTTGTACTGAAACTGCTGCACAACAATCCTCCTCTAGATAAATAAAGCTCGGTCTTAAACAGCTTGTAAGTAGAGTTTGGAGACTTTAAGTTTTGGACGTGACACTGAATATAAATACAGAATATAAATATACTGTAGACATCCTGAGTGTGTCCAGACTCCAGCTTTATTAATGTAAATATCTGCTGGTTTTCACTGAATATTTATTGGTTTTGGGCTTTTAGTTGGACTTAATACACAATATAAAGACCTGTGCTTCACCTGTCAGCCTCAGTTTGTGTTAAATGAGTGATTTAGACGCATTTGTTTAGATTATTTACTGTGAATGTTGATCAGAGAGATGTTTCTACAATCATATAGACTTTTCTTCTCCCTGATATTTGGCCATCGTTGTAATAATACAGCTCATCAGTGTGTAGATATTAAACTGTAGTGTGATTATTGTAAAGGTATTTTAACTTGTCGAAACATTTTAAATTACACAAACTCAAGTGTGTAAGTTAAAAAAACATTCTGGATTAAGCAGTTTTTATTAGTTTGTTTTACAATTCAACCTTATTATTTAAACTGAGTAAAGCTCGTTGATGTTATCTCTTTACATTCACTGTTTGATCCTCCATAAAGTTTGTCCTTCACTAATAAAAACCGATATATGGTCGATGGGATCGATATTTATCGGCCGAATATTAAAGTTAAAGACCTTTTATACACGTCATGCTAAAGGGATACTACGGAGAGAACCACAGGCCAAACTTCATGTAAAAACTGAGCCATTTTAAAATGTTCTCGTTTCTGTTGGTTTTATTGTGTAAAACGTGACTTTATATTTATATATTTATATTATATTAACTAATAAAGAAAAGGGTAATTCTGTGGTGGTACATTTATTAAGTTAAATATCTTTACTCGGTTTACCGGATATGAGCTAACTTACACCGTCGAGGCTTGCAGCTAGCTGTGGACAACAAAAAGTCGTTTTTTGTTGTTTTAAAAAGCTAAAACTCGAATTAAATGTTAGCCGAATTAAAGAGTTGCCCTTCACAGTCTAAACATTTGGTACACTAACAATTAATAATCTAGTTAGACTCTCTGAAATCCAAGTTCTCCTTAAATCCAGAAATCCTCTAAAGGAGTTCCACAGTGCGCGCTGTTAGCTGGAGCTAGGCTAACAGAAGAGCTCACCTCTCTTTGTCGGCGGGGTTTTCCGTGAGGTGAGCCATTGTTCGTCCGTCCGGTTCTCGGTCTGACTGCACACCGTCGGGCAGACTCTCGGTAGGTTAAAGAGACTAACGGCAGGGTTTGATTTGTGCCGTAAACCACGCAGCCACACGGCCGCTGCACATGCTCACTGACCGTCTGTTGACAACCGACCGGGGGCTCGATTCACTGCACCGAGCGGGCCGGTGCGGAGTTACACTGTATTCCGTCATCTGGTTTACCTGGAGGTTATTATTATTATTATTATTATTATTATTATTATTATTATTATTATTATTATATATAACTACTAAACCTTTAATGAACAAACTGTTCCACATTACTGTTACTGAATCTGTGATTATCCCTTTGTCACTGACTCTTTGATCCATACAGTATCTGTTATCTTTCTTATCTTCACTTATTCTTTATTTTTCTGTGTGATTTGTATATTTGTTTTTATATATTTTATGCACCAATTGCACCAGGACACATTCACTTGGCAATAAAGATAATTCTGATTAAGTTTAACTTCAGACACACAGAGTCAGAAACAGCCTCTGTACAATAACACTGGGACTCCATTCATCTTTAATCTGTTTCATATAAATGTTTTCATTGGTCAAATTCAGTTTTATCACTCATATCACCTTCATCGTGTACATAAAGAAACATGCACATAAGTATTTATTTCAGCACTATTGTCTGCAAATGTTATTGTTTATATATATTTGTATATCTGTACATATACACATCGAGCTTGTTGTTTGTTTGCTGTTTATTTATGCTGTTAGTCTGTTTGTATACTGAGAGCAATGTAAACAAATGTGAGTGTAATTCCCTGTGTGTGCACATAGCTGGCCAATAAAAGAGATTGTGATTCTGAAACTAATGAAATATAAATTGGGAGAGTTGGTGCTGAACAGAAAAGTCATCAGTTCAAAACTAATGTGTTTGATATGTGGGACTAAAAGAGATGTTGTTTTATTATGGGGGAATGATTTGGTCAGAAGTCATGTCTTTATTTTACATCTTTTAATTTTGTAGGAGTTTTATGTATGTGTGAGGACTCATACAAAATTATGAAATAATGATAAATAATAAAATGTCCATGTTGTTATTATTATTATTCTATTATATTTCCTTTCCTCGTTTCTCATTCTCATATTTTTGTATCACCTTAAGGGCCTGAAATAAAAATGGGAAAATTCAGAAGTCCATGTTTTCAGTATAAAATGACAAAGCTGTGTATAAAGTTCACAAATAAAAAAGAAAACACAGAAAGAAAATAAATGAAACCCAAAAGGTTCATTTAATCAGGCAGAAACATTAAAGAGTTTACATTGTTAACAGTTTGAGTTATTGTTTGCTCCAGGTTTGTGAAAATGTTTGAAGACATATATTCAGATCTGTTTATAGTAAAATAACTTCAAACTTCTTGTGTTTCAAGAAAAACAGCCCAACATACTGCACACATCTACACAGTGATGTTCTAATGTTTCTACCATATCATTACAGCAAGAGCATTAAATCAGGGAGTTTATCGGATAAATAATAGTTATTTAATTTAGTTTGGCAACACATATTTGTAGAGGGGAGTAAATATACCATTGCATGCTCTGAGCTAGGTTTAGTCAATTTATTTATGAGACAAGATTGTTTTTGGAATAAGGAGGATGCTGTCCAGGCTTCAATGTCTCTCACTCTCTCTACGACACACTGGCCCAGCAGAGGAGCACCTTCAGCAGAAGACTCTCACCCAGATGCACCACAGAGCGCCACAGGACATCATTCCTGTCTGTGGTCATCAAACTCTACAAGATTCAAGATTCAAGATGTTTTATTGTCATATGAAACAAAAGAAAGCAAGTTTCCTCTGTGCAATGAAATTCTTTCTTTGCTATCCACCCTGATACCGACAACGCCTCCCTCAGAGAGTCAGACATTAGAACATCACTGTGTAGATGTGTGCAGTATGTTGGGCTGTTTTCTTGAAACATAAGAAGTTTGAAGTTATTTTACAATAAACAGATCTGAATATATGTCTTCAAACATTTTCACAAACCTGGAGCAAACAGTAACTAAAACTGTTAACAATGTAAACTCTTTAATGTTTCTGCCTGATTAAATGAACCTTTTGGGTTTCATTTATTTTCTGTCTGTGTTTTCTTTTTTATTTGTGAACTTTATACACAGCTTTGTCATTTTATACTGAAAACATGGACTTCTGAATTTTCCCATTTTTATTTCAGGCCCTTAAGGTGATACAAAAATATGAGAATGAGAAACGAGGAAAGGAAATATCATAGAATAATAATAATAACAACATGGACATTGTATTATTAATGCCCGGATGTTATTGTAGCTCTCTGTAATCTGACTCAAACACGGACAATCATTTTTTTTGCACTTTTTGCACATTATTAAACCGTATGTTTGATCTTTTATATATATATATATTTATATATTGTTCTTAATATATGTTGTTTGTAACAAATTAATTCCCCTGAGATTATTTAAAGTATTTCTGAAGTGAAGAAATCCTCTTGTAGTTCACCGTCTGTCCGCGTGGTGTCGCTGGTGCACTGAGTCTGCGCGCTGCTGAAATGCCCGGATGTTATTGTAGCTAGCTCTTTTAGCAACTCGGCTAGCCGCTGCGACGCCGCTGCCTCTTGCCGCTTCGGTCCGTCGCATCGGGGACACTCGACCCTCCAGACTCCCGCGGCCAATACTAACTGCTGTTTAACGTTGGTAACTCAACATCGACGCGTTATCATGCTAGAAGTTGACTGAGAGGATCGTTAATTTTAGGTGTTATCGTTGATTTTCCATCCGATTTGGCGGGACTAGATCGGGCTGACAATACGAGGAGCTAACGGCTAACGCAGCTAGCTTTCACTGAGCAGCAGGCCAGGTTGTTTTAACGGGGAAGCTAACGCAGCTAGCTGAGCAGGCTACCGCGGCTGTCATGGAGGACAAATCTTTCACTAAAGAATTAGACCAATGGATCGAACAGCTAAACGAGTGTAAGCAGCTATCGGAAAACCAGGTCCGGACACTCTGCGAGAAGGTAAGTTGGGCCACAGCGACCCGGGTTCGAGTCCGCCTCCGTCGGCCTCGCTTCCACAGCGGGGCCTACAGTGGCAACGGCGGCTCTGACTAATTCCTGGAATGAAGTCACGGCGGAGGCGGCTATTATCGCCCTTTTCCGCCAGTCATCGCGAGTTTGTCGGTGTTTCACAGCTAAATATGATTCCCAGCACCACTCTGTCGACAAGTCCGCCGATAAAACCCGATAAAAGTGTGTTAATGTGAACGGAAATCGATCAGCCGTCGACTCATGACACACGGGCCACATCTTTTTACATCATTACCAACAAGTAGACGGAGCCCATTTTTTACTGCCAGTTTATGACCGGGGCTGCTTTGAGCGCTAAAACTCAGCTTCATATGTTTAAATGTGGAGTTGTGTGCTATTGTCTGCATGTTGGTTGTGTCTATTAATAATCTATAGGTGGTGTTATCGATCAGCACCGCGCCCTGTCTTTATCGATCAACCGTCAGCTTCAGACGTCAGCTCCGTTGCATCATAAAACAACTCTTTTATTTCTGCATCAGAGAGCTTTTAGTGTTAATCAGGACACATTATCCAACAATAGGCTTAAATCTGATCACTGAGAGGCTTCAGGCCATTATCTGCTGAGTGTGTGAGGAATAATGGGACTCAATGAATGAAGGACAATATATAAAACTCAGTTAACTCGTTGTGGATTACTCATTTACTTAATAAGTAGAAAAATGTGCCTCTTTTCTGTATTTTTATATTATATATCTTATCCTAACAGTGAGTTTCAGCTGTTGGTTGGACAGTAGAAGTAGATAATGGAGTCCAGAGCTCATTTAAAGTGTAAAATAAAAATACTTATTTAAACTCTTAAGGATTACTCATTTAATCTGTCGACAGAAAAACAAGAAATCTTTGTGTTTTATCACATTTTTCTGTGTTATATAATATAAGTTGGTTGGACAGAAAGTCTTTGCCTGGTTAAAAAAATATTATTTCCTTTGTTATTTTTATTATCGATTAATCTGTAGCTCATTTTAATCTATTAGTTATTCGGTCCGTAAACTGTAAGAAAATGTGGCTCGTTGTTTGCCGTTAAAGCCGAAGGTTGAACGTCCTCTAATGTCTTGTTTTGTCCACAAATGTGTTCAGTTTACTGTCTCAGAGGATTTACAGAAACCAGGAAATATCCACGTTGGAATAAGTTGAAGTTGAATGAATGAAACGTTGGTTTGTTCAGTAAAACAGCAGCTGTGTTGTTCTGCTGGTAAACACTCTGATATTGGACAATTTGATTTCAGACACACGAGCAGATCGTCCTCAACCGAGAGGATTTCTCCCTGTTTTTATACTTTCAACTGTTTAAAAAAAAGAATCACTTTCTTGATTAATCGACTTCTTGTTTTGTTCCATAAAATGTCAGAACGTGATTTAAAAATGTTTCCCGTTTAACGCTCTTAAAGGACTGAATAACGGAAAATATTCACATTGGTTTTTTTTTTCTCCGAAAATGACTCAAAATGATGAATATTGGATTAGTTGGTGTTCAATTAACCAATCGCTTTAAACTCTAATAGACAAATAAAATCCAATTTGACATACGTACAGTTTTTTATTCATATATTTTCAGTTTGAATCAGCTGAGCGTTATTATCTCTGCGGGGAGTTAAGTCCTCTCAGCTTGAAACACGTCAATAAAATGACATTTATACATATTAGAAATCACTGTCGTCCACAGAAGAGCATTACAAATATATAGTTTAGCATTTTTACAATCATTTTTTATCAGAAATTGCTTCGCTTTTCTACCTTTGTCCACTTTATTACAAACTCTACGGTGTCCTGTGAGGTCACGCCTCAAAATAACCCGTCAGCCTGTCATTACGGCTAAACGTGGACGTGTGACATGAATTACTGTTTGTGTGTCCGTCTGAAGAGTTTTATTTAACCGTCTGTCTGCTCACAGCGTGTTTTTAAAGAAAAAGTGGATAAATTAAATTAATAATCTGTGTGTTTGTCTCCTCTCCAGGCCAAGGAGATCCTGACCAAGGAGTCCAACGTTCAGGAGGTGAGATTTCCCACAATGCCAGAGAGGAAAAACTCAAAACCCTCACTCATTGATTTCCTGTATAAC